CCATTCCATTCCATTCCATTCTATTCTATTCTATATTCTATTCTATTTTCTATCCTATCCTATCCTATTCATAGAGGGATTCAATCAAGATCATGTGAAGAATTAGTAATGCTTTACAAAGCTTTGGTAAGGCCACATTTGGAATATTGTGTTCAGTTTTGGTCGCCGCGATGTAAAAGGTTGCTGAGACTCTGGAAAGAGGGCAGAGAAGAGCAACCAGGATGGTGAGGGGACTGGAGGCTAAAACATATCAAGAACAGTTGCTGGACCTGGGCCTGGCTAGTTTAATGGAAAGAAGGACCAAAGGAGACACGATAGCAGTGTTCCAAGATTTGAGGGGCTGCCCCAAAGAAGATTTGGGGGTCAACTTATTTTCCCAAAGCCCCTGAAGTGCAGGAGAAGAAGCAACGGATGGAAACTGACCAAGGAGAGAAGCAACCTGGGATTAAGGAGAAACTTCCAGACTGTGAGAACCATTAACCAGTGGAACAGCTCGCCACTAGAAGTTGTGGGTGCTGCATCGCTGGAGGTTTTTAAGAAGGGTCTGGACAGCCACCTGTCTGAAATGGTTTAGGGGCTCCTGCTTGGAGAAGGGGGTTGGACTAGCAGACCTCCAGGGGCCCTTCCAACTCAACAATCAACCCATCAATCAGAATAGAAGCGGGAAGGGACCTCGGAGGTCTTCTAGTCCAACCCCCTTCTCAAGCAGGAGACCAGGTCCACCCACAGGCTGCGTTCCTTCTCTCTTTTGCAAACCCTCCCCCCTAAGATACAGCAAAAGCCCCCGAAATGATCCCCAGGGGTGGGATGTCACCCGGCAACCTCTCACAGCTTTGTGGAGCAGCCGCCATCTTGGGCCTAGCTGAGCTAGGCCTCTCTTGGTCGAGGGGATGTGTGCCTGCATACGTGTGTGTGTTGTCTCTCTGTGTGTTGTGTGTGCGTGTGTGCGTGCGTGCGCAGTTGTGTGGCGCAAAGCTTCCTTCTGCCAGCTTTCTGCACAGCTGTTTCCTGGCCGTGGATTACTGCAACCGCACGATCTGCTTTCCAGCAGCCAAGCCTGGTTGTCCTTCTTGGAGAAGCTCATTGGGACACGGGGTGGGGGGCTTGCGAGAGGCGACGGGCACCAGGTTTTGGGGGTATCCTCACACCCAAGGCGTGCGCATTTATGTGGCGCAAATCTTCCTCCTGCCAGATTTCTGCTGCGCAGCGGTTTCCTGGCCGTGGTTAGTTAGCCCTTCTCCCCAACTCCCCCGGCCCCCATCCTTGCCATCAAAAGCCAGAAGGAAGGCTGGCAAACTCCAGTAGCCTGCCTCCGTTGGCGCTCTCCCGCCGAGCTGGGCCAAACTGGGATTACGGGCAGCAGGAAGCGCTTTTGAGTTTCTGTGGGAAAGCAACGTAAGGTCATGGGTGCTAGAAGGGAGCTGGGATTGTGGCGAGGAGGAGGAGGAGGAGGAGGAGGGGAACTGCGGGGGTCCTGGGTGCTCTCTGAGCTGGGTGGTTTCCTTGCAGACGTCTCATGACCCAACTAGGGAACATCATCAGTGCTGGAAGGGAATGGGGTTGCTGAAAGGAGGAGGAGGAGGAGGAGGAGGAGGAGGAGGAGGAGGAGGAAAAAGACTGGTGCTTTCTGAGCTTGATGGTTTTCCCGACCCAATTCGGTAACATCATCAGTGCTAAAGGTGGAGGAGGAGGAGCAGGAGGAGGAGGAAGAGGAGGAGAAGGAGCAGGAAGAGGAGGAGGAGCAGGAAGAGGAGGAGGAAGAAGAAGAAGAGGAGGAGGAAGAAGAGGAGGAGGAGGACTGTGAAAGTCCTTGGTGCCCTCTCAGCTGGGTGGTTTCCTTGCAGACGTTTCATGACCCAACTAGGAAACATCATCAGTGCTAGAAGAGAGAGGGGTATGTGAAGGAGGTAAAAGAAGGAGGAAGAGAAGGAGGAGGAAGAGGAGGGAGGAGGAGGAAGAGGAGGAAGAGGAAGAAGAGGAGGAGGAGGAAGAGGAGGAGGAGGAGAACCGTAGGGTCCTTGGTGGTCTCTGAGCTTGGGGGTTTCCTTGCAGACGTTTCATGACCCAACTAGTAACCTCATCAGTGCTAAAGGAGGAGCAGGAGGAGCTGAACCGTAGGATCCTTAGTGCTCTCTGAGCTTGATATTTTTCCGCTACCCAACTAGGTAACCTCATCCATGCTAGAAGGGAGTCGGGGGGGGGGTTTGCCTGGTGCCTTCACCCGCTAGACCCGACGGGGGCTCTCTGACCTCGTTCACCTCTCTCTGCTTGTCGATGGCCGATCTGTGTGCATGCCGGCCTTCAGCAATTTATGGGACCCTACACAAATCCCAGGCGGTGCCAGCGGCTCACGAAAGGAGCCGGGCCGAAATGGCAGCCGGCCTAGTGCCCTGGCTTGAGCTTAGTCCAGGAGATCCTCTACCCTGCCAAAATTTGCACCAAGGTCCTGGCCGCCCAGGGCCAGCCACGGGACTCTGCCTTCCCTCCTCGGTCCCAGCGGGGGCCTTCTGGAGTCGGTGCCCGGGGTTGGCATCCTGCAGAGAAGAGGCGGTGGGCTTCCTTCCTAGCAGGAATTAATATATTTCGCAGGAATTAATATATTTCGCAGGAATTGAGGGCAACAAGCCAGTGACAGGATGCGGGAGGCGAAGGGCGAGAGAGGAGAGATGTGGATTTCAACCTCTGGATTATTTAAAAAGTTACATGCCAGTCGGAGTCGGGCAGCCGTACCGCAAGCAGTCCTCCACTTAGGAATGGTTCCTTTAGTGGCCGTTCCAAGATTAAAAACGGCAGGGGGACCGACCCACCAAGTCCAAGGGGGAAATGCGGATTCGTTGCACCACCGTCCGGCTAACTGATCCACAGGACGGGGATCCGCTGAACGACGGTGTGGCAAGAAAGATCGCAAAAAAGGGGGCGGAAGCCACTTGGTGAGTGTTTCACTTTAGCGGCAGAAATGCAGGGCTCGTCTATGGTCGTTAAGTCGAGGACAACCTGTCCCTAATACAGGAATACAGGAAGCTGCTCGACCCACCCGTGTAGCTTTCAGCTGCCAACCCGGCCGGGCTGATCCCTTTTCCGCCACTCCAGGTGGCACCGAAATCTTTCCAGGTGGCGCCTGCTTGGACAGCCGAACAGGCGGCCGATCGTTCGGGTGGATCTACTCTTGCCCTCTCTGGTTTCTGCCCCTCATGGCCGGAGGGGCGCAGTCTGTGCTGGGAACCTGGTGGGAGGAGGGTGGGCCGGAGAGGGAAGGCAGGGGATTGGCCTGGCCTGGGGGCTGCCATGGAAAAGCCCCCCGGCCTTTAGGCGGCGATTCTTCAGTCACCGGAAGGCTGGGAGGTTGGATTCGGGCTGCTCTGATAAAGAGATCGTGGAGCTTTTCCTGGGAGGAGGAGGAGGCGGCTAGACTTATGCGGAGCGATGTATGAAAAGAGGAGAAAGAAAGAAAGGAAGGAAGGAAGGAAGGAAGGAAGGAAGGAAGGAACAAAGAAAGAAAGAAAGAAAGAAAGAAAGAAAGAGGGAGGGAGGGAGGAAAGGGAGAAAGAAAGGAAGAAAGAAAGAAAAAGAAGAAAGAAAGAAAGAAAGAAAGAAAGAGGGGAGGAAGGAAGGAAGTAAGGAAGGAAGGGAAGGAAGGAAAGAAAGAGAAGGAAGGAAGGAAGGAAGGAAGGAAGGAAGGAAGGAAGGAAAGGGGGAGGGAGGCAGGATGGGAGAAAGAAAAAAAGAAAGAAAGAAGGGGGGAGGGAGGGAAGGGAGAAAGGAAGAAAGAAAGAGAAAGAAAGAAAGAAAGAAAGAAAGAAAGAAAGAAAGAAAGAAAGAAAGGACAATGGGACGGAGGGAGCGAGGGAGGGAGGAAAAACAATGGGAGGGAGGAGACAGGAAGGGAGAAAGGAAGGACAAATGGGATGGAGAAATGGAAGGAAGGAGAAAGAGGAAGGGAAGGAAGGAAGGTTGGTCGCTTCAGAGAATCCCCAAATCCTTTCTTCTGGGCCTCGAATCTGGGACAGAACGAATGGGAGGCTTAAGCCCACTACCCGCTGAGACCCTGCGCCCCCTTTTCCCCAGACCCCGTGACCCCACGGCCCGGTTGATCCTTAATCTTCTGGGAGAGGGGGGGTGAGGGGAACCCCCTTCCGAAGGGCGGAGCTGATTGGCTAGGTCGAAAGGCCGAAAGAAATCCTTATAGCCGGGCAGGTTTTGCCTTGGAAGTCAGGGGGGGTGAGAAGACCTGGAGATACCAGGCAGCCCCCCCC